AAAAACAAATGATAGGAGTAGTGTAATATAATGTACATATTTTACATATATTACACACTCTTCTTTTCTATTTTATAATTCCATATACATTTTGTTGTTATATATTGTAACTGAATGCACAAATTTATACTTCTGTTTCTTATAATGTCAACTTGAGCAACTAAAAAACAAATGTTAGAAGTAGACCTGCAGTTAATAATAAAATAAAATCTATAAAACATTAAATAAGATAATCACTATTTCACACAGGGACAAAACGAGCGCCGCATTAAAAATAATAAATGTAATAGAAGTGACCTGCTGCTTTGTAATTATGAGCTTTCCTGTGTTTTAAAACATTAGATATTGAATGCGAGGGAACATTTAGCCTCCGTTCTTTTATATGTTTGTTCTGATTATGCTGTTGTGGAGAAATTGGCCCAGCCGCTGCATGAACGCCCCAGAGCTGCTGTAATGAAGCTCCGACTCTTTGTAAACAGCGTTTCTGTGTTACATGTTCCCGCTTTTAACAAACGACGCCGGCTGGAAACTGCTGTGATTACTGCGTCTTCTTTTTCCCCGCACAGATGTAAACAAAAACAGCCTCGGGTGATTCTCCCTTTAATTATACCAAAAACAGAAACATAATGAATATCCAGCAAACATGACACAAGCTTATAGCAAATGACTTCACTCTGATATGTCTTCATGAGAGACGAAGTGCATCCTGGGTAAAGAAACGAGAAAAAAAAAGCGTGAAAGCGTGTGCAGATGCTTGATTCTGGGCGGAGGAAGGAGTCACAACAAGCGTGTTTTTTGCAAACTTTTGAGCGTTTCCTGTTTTATTTTGATTTGTTTGGCAATTTAATTGTTGGTGGCACAAAATAATAGCAAATATGAGAATGTAAAAAGGGAATGTTTGTAGTTATTGAACAGAAAAAGTGAAGTAGTAGGAAGACTGATTCCACCAAATGTCATTAGCAACACCTGAGCTTTCCCTGCTACGTGAAAATGTTCTAGATGTTGCTTTTCCAAGAAATAATTAGTTGTCAGTTCAGTTGTTGGCTAGAAATAAGACGACTGAGACCGGATTGAAACACGATGAAAGACAAGAAGAGATTGTAGTTTTGGTTGAAACGTCGTACTTTAAGTCAGCGTTGATATTCTGCTACAGTGGCAGTTTGCTGCAGTGCTAACTAAGCTAGACCAACCTAGCTAGCTGTCTGAGGCGTATTGCTAGTACAACAACTGTTTAACTGTTTATACTTCCTCTATTCCTTTCCTCTATTCCTTTCCTCTATTCCTTTCCTCTATTCCTTTCCTCTATACCTTTCCTCTATTCCTTTCCTCTGTACCTTTCCTCTATTCCTTTCCTCTATTCCTTTCCTCTATTCCCTTCCTCTATTCCTTTCCTCTATTCCTTTCCTCTATTCCTTTCCTCTATTCCCTTCCTCTATTCCTTTCCTCTATTCCTTTCCTCTATTCCCTTCCTCTATTCCTTTCCTCTATACCTTTCCTCTATTCCTTTCCTCTATACCTTTCCTCTATTCCTTTCCTCTATACCTTCTCTCTATACCTTTCCTCTATTCCCTTCCTCTATTCCTTTCCTCTATTCCTTTCCTCTATTCCCTTCCTCTATTCCTTTCCTCTATACCTTTCCTCTATTCCTTTCCTCTGTACCTTTCCTCTATTCCTTTCCTCTATTCCTTTCCTCTATACCTTTCCTCTGTACCTTTCCTCTATTCCTTTCCTCTATACCTTTCCTCTATTCCTTTCCTCTATACCTTTCCTCTATTCCTTTCCTCTATACCTTTCCTCTATTCCTTTCCTCTATACCTTTCCTCTATTCCTTTCCTCTATTCCTTTCCTCTTGTGTGTGTAGGTTAAGATTAATTACGGTGACTCGTGATTCCACTGTCCTTGTTTCTGTCCTTCCCATCTGTAAACACTGTTGTTGGATCAGGAGATTTTATCCAACGTCTCAATTTTGAGTCCAGATTTGGTCCAATAATATCCTTCAAATGGAAAAAATACCAGCCAGGATTCATCCGGGTTGGCAGTAGAAGCAGAGCTTTATTCCCTTCGCAGAAAAACAACGCCCGAGTCATCCATGGAAAGACTGAATTTTCATTTTCATTTTCAACTTCACCTTATATACTCTCACAAGTCCTGCCCATCTGTCAATTATTGATCCATGACATAATGGTGTTCATCCCCTCTGGAAATACCCAGAAACTTCCACCAAACTGGAGCTCGTCCTCTCTAATGGTGTCGGGTCTATTTCTCCCTCAGCCCTCCTCCACCTGCACCGCTGGGGTTGAGCACTTCTTATCCCTCGCTCAGTCCTTCCTCTCCTCCACTTGTTGTGCTCTCTTACTACAAAGCCCGCGGGCTTCATGGCCTGTTGTCCTTGTGCTCTCTTATCATTAACCTTGCAGGCAGTACGCCAAGACCTTTTCTTTTTACTCTCCATGATTACACCATTAAAATCTATCTTTTAAAAACCTTATATTACTAGTTTCTTACACCATTATGTCATAGATGTCTTTTACTGTATTTTTTTTAGATCTTTTTAAACTTTATGAAATGACAAAAAGCTTGTGTTCAACGATCATTCACACACTTTTGGTAGAAACCTTACTTGTCTCATGTTACAGCCACACATTCAATATTTTCTACACATTAAATCAAACTTTCACTAAAAACCACGGTGCTCTCTACTTCATTAACAGTTTTGTGTGCTCACATAAAATCAACCTTACTTAAATACAGTGCTCATTACCTGATTTTACAGTATGTTGTGTGATTAAAAACATAGTGCTTATATAACAGAATTTCCAGCATCTTGTGTGATTACTAGAATTCCAGCATTTAACATTCACAAACATGCATTACATTTTACACTATCTATCTATATCTACACTATCCATCACTGTAATCCAATCTTTTCTTTGAGTGGTTAAAAAAACATTCTTCATGCCTCAGGTCTTGTTGCCAGGAGCGGATATAGGGAAATAAATTCAAAACATATATAATATACAAGTGAGATGTTATGTTGATTAAATGAGCATCATTAACCTTCCTTTGAAAAGAAAAGAAAAAGCCTAAAAAGCCAACTTCTCTTCAATCTCTAACCTAAGTAAGACAAGAGGCGAGGTGCATTCAAGGACCTCCCTGTGAGTGTGTGTGGTTGTAACATTAGGCCATCTGTTGTACCGTGGGTGTGATCACCTCTGCAGGTTGCTAACAGAAAGGTAATCGGCCCGAGGAGTCAGTAGAAGAGGATGAATGATGTGCTCTGCCCTGCTGTAGCCTCACCGCTGTGTTACAGGTCGCTGGACATATAAGGAGTGAACTTAAAAAAACATGTTAGCACGTAATGAGAACAGGAGCTCGCAGTGTAAATGTGGAGGGTTGATGGGTGAGACGGGAGGGGAGGTAATCGCTGCCGCTCTTTGATCCCTGGAAGGCACTGTTGCCATGGTTACAGCATCCGAATGGGATGCCGCTGCTCTGGCGCCCTGCCTGTTAGTCTGTGTAGGTCCCTGGAGCATTTCCCCTAGTGTGTGTGTGTGTGTGTGTGTGTGTGATTATGCAAATGTATTGCTAATAGTGCATGTTTAGATATAATGCAACATTTAAACTGAGTACTTATTTATTCCAGAAGGAGGAGAAAACACAATCCTTGTTGTAATATTAGCGATGGAAGTACCTTTAGTATTCCTAGAGTAGTAGAGGTACTAGTATATTATATTGCACTATATGAAGTCAATTGTTGATGGGAGGTTGTAGTTGTAGTTCTTAATAGCAGTAGTAGTTGTAGTTCTTAATAGCGGTAGTAGTAGCACAGAATAATGTAGTAGTGTTAGTAGAAGTAGATTAGTAGATCAGCATTAGTAGTATTCTGTTATATACTGTTTTATATATATTTTGAATGTCTTATTTTCTATATTTTGTTCTATGCTGTAATATAATGTACATATTTTTATCTTATTTTCAATTTCTTATAATGTCTTTGTTTAGCAACTTGAGCAGCTGCAGCAAAGCCACAAAGGGATCAATAAAGTAATTCTGATTCTAGTAGTGGTAGGGTTACCTGTAATGGTAGATGAGTAGTAGTCTTAGCAGTAGGAGGAGGAGGAGGAGGAGGAGGAGGAGGAGTATTAGTAGTGGGAGACCAGTGTTTACTGTTAAACTCAGGCTAACTTCAGTGACCTTCATCTGAATCTGCAGAAGCAAGAAGCACATGATTTGCACCTGCTTCTAGCAACTGTTGTTAGTTTCTCTCTTTCCTCATTGTCTCCATTATGCATTGTTTAATTCATTTAGATTTGACCAATGTATTTTCTTTCAGTTTTCCATCTAATACAGGTTTACAGAATTGACCTTCAGTCTCCAAACGTTTTAAGAGCTGCTGCTAACAACCTGAATCCCAGTGACAGACAGAGAACACTGAATAAAAACCCTGAAAGTGACGCTCTGCTTGGTCCTGATCCAAATCTACAGCAGGTTCAGAAAAGTGTTTAGAACTGTGTGTGTTTGTATGAGAGTCACAGACAGAGAGTGAAGGAGTGTTATATGCTGCCAGCTCTCCTGTAAGTGGAATAGAATAAAATATGGCTGCCTCCCGGAGGAGCACTGAAGGAGCCAGTGTGATGCATCCTCCCTCAGCCCAGAGGAACCTCAGGATAAGTGCAAACCTTTTACTCTCCATGGCTGACAAATACAGCCCAAAACACAATAGTTCAGCTCTTATTAAGCCATTTACTCTTAAAATAAAAGGGTCGACACTGTTGGAGGGTAAAAACAACCTGTATATATAATATATGTTTAATATTTGGACTGCTTTGGTAGAAAATAAAAACTGAACATTCAACCTCGTCAGACTGATCAGTTATATTGATCTCCCTGTGTTTCTGCTGCTGCTGTATCTGTGTATGGATATTATTTATTTCAGGTCTGTTTAGTTACCTGTCAACCTGCTAACCCCGTGTGTTGCCTTTGTGTCTCTCTGCAAACAGGTTGCCTGTTTGAGAGCGGGCTGTGTTCACCGTATGAGATCTGCGTCAACGGTAAGACGTCACACACACACACACACACACACACACACACACACACACACACACACAAATAAGACCTGGGTTGTTTGTGGTCGAAACTTATTATATTGTTTATTTACAGATGATGTCAAGGAGCAAACATAATATCACGAGAGATGATTCATTAGTAACACACCTCTGGAAGCAGTGGCAGTGAACCATTTATAAATGTTACAACCCTTAAGTTAGGGGAAGTCTTCTAGTCTTCGAGACTATAAAAGCCAGAAGAGGTTTGTGTGTGCAGTGCAAACAAGAGTTGATGGTTCTCTTCTTGAAGAGAACAGAGGAAACAAAGTTGTTTCTTCTTGCAATTTGGTGTAGAGTATTTTTTTTTATTTTTCATATTGAACCGCCATGTTTCTACAGAGCGGACTAACCACTGTCTCTCCCTCCTGCTTGCAAAGGGAGGGTGAAGCGAAGGAGTTGCAACCTGCAACTATACCACTAAATCCTACACGCTTTGGTCAGTTTGAGCTGCATCTTTAACCACATTAATGATAGCAGTTATTTCATACACACACAATCTGACATGCTGCATTGCTTCTACGTCCACAGTCCATTTAGAATGAACTGCTGGACCACATATAAATATAGAAATAGAAAGCCACACTCTCTCTGTCTTACTCCTCCCTTGTGGCCTCTCTGGCATTAAGAGGAAGGAAACCCCTGCTGAGAATCAACCTAGAATAAAAAAAAAAAGCCCAAAACATGAAAGTCACTCACAGAAAGTAATTAGCATATATTTGGAAACCCTTTTATCTTCGACTCCTCTGGGTCAGCCGGATGATAACCGGGTTACTCTCCAAGCTTTTCACGCTGCGTCTGCTCCAAGCTGACCTTTTGTTTTTCTGTATCTGCCGATCACCATTCGTCGGTTTACTGGGGAAACTCTCTCACTTATCAACATCTCTGCAAGATTTAAAGCAAAGACCGAGATAACAGAAGACCACAATTGGCTGTGTGATCTCATTAAGCATGTGAATGGCCTGTTAGGAGGTGCACAGCTGACGGGCCCACGTCTCTCTGACCCGCTTCCTGACGGGCGTTTATTTCAGGCGGGGCGCGTTTGTTCTGAATTCATCAGCTCGGTCGTTTCCTGTCTGCACGGCGTCCTTTTTTTGAAATGTTCCCCCCCGTAATCTAATCCTGGCAGGAGAAGGTGGGGATGAAAAACACAAACGGAGCACACGTCTCGTTCTGTGAGAGAATCATCATGTCCTGAGTGAATTGTATTTTTAGCTGAGCTCAGACGGGCTGTCTGTCTGTGTTGTGACTGCCTCAGGTGACCTTGTTTCACTTGGATGGAAAGCAAAAAAATAAAAAGAGGTGTCAACTGCTTTTATTTGTTTCTTTTATTTGTCTGTGTCATTTCATTGCTCCTTGTATCTCCTGCCTTCATTATCCCACGACACATAAATATTAGTCCTTTTTGTGATTCTGAAAACTGAAAATAAAAAAGAGATAGAGATATCAGAACCGTATTATGGAAGCCCTTTTCTGCCAATATGATCGGGAAAGAAAGGATTCTGTAAGTCATTATAATGAGAAACCTTCTCAAAATAATGACATTGTCCTACTGAGTCATTATTTTCAGTTACTATGTCAAAATATTGAGAAGTTTCTCTTTTTTTTGAGATTTAAAGTCAATATTTTGAGAAGGTTTCTCATTATAATGAGTTACATAATCTTTTTTTTCCCGTCACATTGGTGGAAATGGGCTCCCGTACCGTATAGCTGCCATCGAAGACGCTCAGGTCATATTTTCTCTGGGGATTGGAGGGCTTAACAACCTCAGAAGAGGTTACACATGATGGATTTTTCAAGGCTGATTTTCATATATTGTTTATTTATACGTATTTTATAGATTAGGCTGTTTCTGGAAAAACTCAAATAACATTTCAATAAAATAAAGATGTTTTTAATTTGGTATACTACTTTATATATTCCTGTCAGAGCGATTCAATCACAAACTCAACTGGGCCAGACTGTAAAACCAGGAAATGTAGATGGTGTTTCTCAGTGTTGTGCCTCTGAATATTATATTCTTTAACTACCTTAACGCACTCATTTCAAATTCAACACATTAGTCTGGCGTTGGTAGAAAATAAACAAGTACTCTTTAGTCCAGGAAGGGTTGAACTGACAGTTTTTACTGTTAATTGAAAGCTTCGGGGTTGACAGAGACATGTTTTCAGTAGAGCACTGCCCTACTTGTGACTGTCAGCAGCCACAAGATGTTTTGAAAACCTGAGCGTGCTCGGAATCACATTAAAACAGTCTTTGTGAGCTTGATTGGGGTGTCACATCCATAAACATCCTTCCCGATCTGTACTGAGCATGTGCAGCTCTCACCACAGATGAGAAGGTGGCTCACTCGTTAGCTACTTCCACACACTGTGTAGTTAACTTATTTTGCCATATATCAGATTTATGTATTCTGGGACACGTGGAGGTTGTTTCTGGACCGGGTGTGGCCTGCGGACTGCCAGTTGAATAGATTTAGATCACGATGTGGGCGGCAGGACCACAACACAATTCTGCTGCACAACAAAGTTATGTTTCTATTCTTATTTTTTTATTCGTTGTTCGAATAGCGTTGCTTCTATCCAGAACTTGAAAGTCTGAAAATCTCTGCTTACAACAAAAAAAAAAAGAGCTGACGTCTGTTTACACAAAGGGGAAAAGTGATAACAGGAGGAAAAGCAAAGTTAAAAGAGAAAAGACTTGAATCTGTTGTCTTTATGGCTCAGTAACTGTAACTTCTCAGCAGCAGAAGAGGAATCTCACCTGTTTTGCAGATTTCTGTGGTCCTCGCTGTTTTGAAGGTTGTGTGTTTTTTTTCCTCTCTGCGTTTCAGGCAGTAAATACAACTTACTGCTTTGCCTTCATAAGTCATTAAAAAGCCCTCAGTTGGACGGTGGCTCAGCGGCTGTGCTGTGTTTCTACAGCTGGGATGGAGCACTCATTCCCTTCCACTGTTGTCCATATGTGCAACATGGAAGTGCCCCGACCCCATTGTTTTGTATTTAAACTTCCTGTCTACACCGGAAGCAGGAATGTGTCGCATTGTGTGGACTGACATCTGCTGCTAATGTAACGTATAGCTGGAAGAAAGTGTTCCTTTTCAGCAGTCTGACAAACGTCGGCCGCTATTTCTGCAGCAGTGCTAATTGGATTAGTCCTCCCACACAGCTCTGGGATCATGTTACTGTTATTATAGTCATGGTGACTGGTCACACTGCAAAAACAGCAGCACTTCTTGAAACGAGTCAGATATTCTCAAATATAATCACATTTTCTTGTATTAAGCAAATCTGCCAGTGGGGTAAGACACTACTGCTTGGCTGGAATATTACAAGCAATGAAAACTCTGTTATTTAAGATAGACTTTCTTTAAATAAGTATTTTTGGTCACTTTATTGAGCTGAATTTAAGAATTTGTACTTTAATTTAAGATCTTCAACCAGCATAATAAAAATAAGTGACTTTGTCTTGAATGAAGGAACCAGAAGCTTCTTACCTTTTTAGCATTTTTTATTAAAATAATGAAAAACTAAACAGCTGCTTCATTTCCATCACTGGGACCAGACGACTTTCTCTTAAACTGAGAAGTTGTGCGAGTGGTTTTACTCTTAAAATATGGACAATAATCTGGTTCCTCTGCTGGGAGATTATGCAAACCATTGTTGTTACTAGTTAAATGGAGCTCAATATTAGCTGTAATATGTTATTATAGAATATTTTCTTAAAACCAGATTGCTTTTCTGATTTTTAGACAAAAAAATAAGACTAATTTCCCAGAAATAAGGCTCTTTTACTTTATTGAGATTCCTTTTTACAGCAGTAGCAACAGGACAAGTGGAATAAGAAGAAAACCACGACTCCAGTGTTGGGTGTTGCTCATATAGACGTTGCTGTTCTCACCCACATTCATCCACAGATGCTAATCATTGTGAAACAGGAGCATTAAAAGGATTCAGCCCGTGGCAGTGTTGGCTGTTTCAGCGGAGCTAGTCGTCAGCTCGGCGACACTTTCAGTCCAAGGTCTCAAAGAGCATGAAAAGCTCCCCGGGCTGAGTCAGGTGAGGTGAGCCTGCGCTGACAGCTGGATCTCACGCTGGAAAAGCTACGGCGGCTGCACCTCCGGCCATTGTTCTCACCCGCCGTGTGCCCGACCTGCTTCAATAGCTGCTGTCAAACCGCAGACAATGCCAGTCTGTTGTGCTGCTGATTGGCAGCTCGGGCTCTATCGGGCCACACAGCGGCTCTGATTGCCTGAGCTGGCTGTAATCTCTCGGCAGTAACAAAACAAAAACAATGAGTAAGGTTGGCATTGTTCAGCAGAGGACATTCTACCTTTTTCCAATGACAAGGCTGGAGTGTGACAACCAAACAAATATATCAACCCCCCGGAGGAAACAAGTTGTTCTCGCTACTCCTAGATGAGCACAACCCCCGGGACAATGCTATTGAGAAGAGATGCATGACTTGCTTGCAGTCTTTTAGGAATTAAACAGCCTTTGATTAAAGTCAATTTAACACTGAATAACAGAGTAGAGCCTATAGAGCAACTCTGGTAGTGACAGGATTCCCACGCGTCCTGGAAACGCTGGAAAATCTGGAAGTTTAGATTTCCAGTCATGGAAACACTTGGAAATGGATTAAAATGACCAAGTATCCTGGGAATAATCGATGATGTTCTGGAAACGTTTAATTGTATTTTAGCCCCTCACTCAGATTGTTTAAAACTCGACTGTTGGTAGGAAAACCTGCGCTGTATGAAAGCAGGTTTATCGGACGTGGAACCAACTCGCAGCGTTCTTCTTGGAGTTGAGTCTATTTTTTTTCTCATTGTGGTTAATAAATACCTGAACAGCACTGATAATTCTACGTGCAACAGACACTACTTGATTTGAACCCTTACTTGTGGCAGTGGTTCCCAACGTTTTCTGTCAGTTAGTAAACCGACTCAG